ACAACGGTGGTGCAGTGGTAAGCGTGATTGCCTCTCGTTCCAAGAGAGCCTGGGTTCAATCCCAATCAGCGCCGTCAGGATTTTCTGAGGCATAAAATCTCTGATCACGCCTTATTTCGGAAGGGAAGTAAAGCCGTTGGTCCCTGGTCTATGAGTTGATGGGTCGATAGGTGGGTCCAGGTGTGGGAGCTGCCTCCCTGGCGTCGGTAGCATTGATTTGGTACTCAGTACGGAAAACAAGATCGACGCAAAACTGAGGGGAAAATATACGCTTTTGGTCTGCTCTCCACCGACTTGAAAATGACGTCTTACTTGTACCTCAATTCGATGGATCAGATAGATCTCGAAATGTGCTTACTTTTCTAAAATTTAACCAAAAAAGCTTAAAAATAATCGAAGGACATCGTTTGTTAGTATTAACAGGAGTAAATTAAAATGCGAGCTTTACTAGCGAAGGAAAACAATAATTGAATTTTATTTGACGTTTCAAGATAGTACACACCGTTATGGAAATTTATTAAAAATAGAGTAGTAATAAATTGTTAGTTACACCTACACTGTTAACATGCCGCCTCAATTGATGACCCCTAGTTTCTCCCGAAGCTTGTAGACCGTGGAGATGCTAAACCTTTCGTCATGATATCCGCCATTTGCTCTTCAGTTTGTAGATATTTCAAATCCACCTGTCCTTTCTCCACCAACTCCCTAACAAAGAAGTGCTGGATCTCGATATGCTTCATACGTTTGTGTTAACGAGGATCTGTCGTAACCGCAAGGTACGGCTGGTTGTCCTCGTAAATAGTAACCGGCTTCACAATATTATGTCCAATAGACTGCAATAGGTTCGCGACCCACACAACTTCGCAACTGGCTTGACAGGGTGCCATCAATTCTTCCTTAAGTACCGCAGAACACGTTTCAAATGCACCCAGTGCTCTTTTTTTGGACAACACTGAAATCCAGCGAAATAGTTGACGGCAGCTGACAAGTCTGGTCTTGAAGTTACCACCAAATACATAAGACATCCGACTAACTCTCTGTACGGTTTAGCTGTGTACTCCTTTTCCAGCTTCCAGGGATGGAAGATGGTTTACAATCACTCATACCGAAACGCTCGACAACGCTTTTCACGTACGCCTTTTGATCAATCATCATGACTCCCGCCTCACGATCACGGTGAATGTTGAGTCCCAGAAAACATTACACTTCCTGGAGGTCCTTCATCTCGAACTCTACGGACAGTCTTCCATTCAGCATCCAGATAGCCTTCATTGAATTGCTCAAGAGCAAAATGTCATCCACATAAATGACAACGTACATCAGCACTCCTTTCTGTCGTCGATAGTACAAACAAAAACCGTGCTCGCTTCTAGTGAACCCAATGCTGCTGATGAAATCGTGAAAACGCTGATTCCAGCTTCGAGAGGCTTGCTTAAGGCCATAGATAGCCTTATTCAGTTTACATACAAGGCCATTCTCCCTCTCAAAGCCAGCTGGTTCACGCATGTAAATGTCCTCATCCAATACACCATTCAGGAACGCACAAGTGACATCTATTTTAAGGAACATGCCAAGCTTCTTGATTTGCCAGTGCCAAAAGGTCTCCGAGAAGTCAAATCATGGACGCTACGTAAAGCCACGGGCAACCAGTCTGGCTTTGTATCTCTCCACTCTCACTCTCTTCACTTTGAACACCCACTTATTGTCGATCAATTTTCTTCCAGTGGGCGGTTCCACTAAGCACCACGTGTCATTCTTCTCAAACGACGGCCAATTCATCTTCGATCGCACTTTTCCATAGAGGCCAATCGTTCCTCTTCTTGAGAGCTTCGATGTCCGATGGTATGTTCTCCAAATAATCTTCGCCTGCACTTTCGATCGACTACTTCTTCGAACACCATCTTCGACTACTCCCGGATTCACATTCGAGTCATCTAGATCCGGATTCGTATCAGAATTCATACCCGAGTCATCGCGATCTTCCTCCGATCCACTTTCTTCCTTTTCCGAATCACTTTCATCTTCACTTCCAGATAACTTTCTTCTTCCGCGGAGCTCTGATCGTATAGGTTATTTTTCCTATCCAGTTCACGGGTTTCGATCACGATCATCGTGATCGCTTTGTTCTTTGCGGGTTTCCTCTTTCAACGAACAGTGTCCCAACTTTTCTTCATTGAAAACTACGCCACGGGCTACGAAAACTTTCTTCCCGTTCCATACGCGATACCCGCTGGGAGCGTTATCGACGAAATACACTTTTTCCTTCGCTAGCAAACCTTACCTTACCTTGTTGTCCTCTGCTGTCCGAAGAAGTCGTCTCCACTCTACTCGATTCATGGCCACACTTGGCCAGCCTCGTAGTCTGCGAAGGGTCCGCAGGTCACCTTCTACTTGGTCGATCCACCTTGCCCGCTGCGCGCCTCTTCTTCTTGTTCCTGTTAAGTCACTTTTGAGAACCATTTTCACTGGGTCGTCATCCGGCATTCTTACGACGTGCCCAGCCCACCGTAGTCGCCCAATTTTTGCAATGTGGACGATGGATGGTTCTCCCAGCAGCTGGTGCAATGCGCGGTTCATTCGCCTCCTCCACGTTCCGTCATCCATCTGCACTCCACCGTAGATGGTACGCAACACCTTCCGTTCGAAAACACCAAGGGCGCGTTGGTCCTCCACGAGCATAGTCCAGGTCTCGTGGCCGTAGAGGACCACCGGTCTAATCAGCGTCTTGTAGACAGTCAACTTTGTGCGGCGGCGAATTTTATTCGACCGGAGCGTCCTCCGGAGTCCAAAGTAAGCACGATTCCCTGCCATAATGCATCTTTGAGGTTCTCTGCTGGTATCATGTTCAGCGGTCACCAGTGAGCCCAAATACACGAACTCATCGACCACCTCGTTTTCGTCACCGTCAAACTGAACTCGGGATGGGAGGCTAACATTGTCTTCCCTAGAACCTCTTCCTTTCATGTATTTTGTCTTTGATGCGTTGACGGCAAGTCCAATCAGCCTAGCCTCAGCCTTCAGTCTGATGTACGTTTCCGCCATCGTCTCAAAGTTCCGTGCCACGATGTCGATGTCATCGGCGAAGCCAAGAAGCTGAATAGACTTCCTGAAGATCGTGCCACTCGTGTCTATCCCAGCTCTTCTGATCACACCTTCTAACGTGATGTTGAATAGTAGACACGGAAGTCCATCACCTTGCCGTTACCCCCTTTCGAGATTCAAAGGGACTCGAGAGTGTCCCCGATACTCGAACAACGCACACCACTTGATCCATTGTCGCCTTGACCAATCGCGTCAGTTTATCCGGCAATCCGTACTCGTGCATAATCTGCCATAGCTGATCTCGATCGATTGTGTCGTATGCGGATTTGAAATCGATGAACAAATGATGTGTGGGCACGTTGTATTCGCGGCATTCTGCAGAACCTGCCGAATCGCGAAAATTTGGTCCGTGGTAGCGCGGGCACCCATGAATCCCGCCAGGTATTGTCCCACGAACTCTCTTGCAAATGGTGACAGGCGGAGGCATAAAATTTGGGAGAGTACCTTGTAAGCGGCGCTCAGCAGTGTGATCGCGTGGTAGTTTCAGCAATCCAACTTGTTGCCCTTTTTGTAGATTGGGCATACGACACCTTCCATCCACTGCTCCGGTAATATCTCCTCCTCCCAAATCTTGGCAATCACCCAGTGCAGCGCTCTAGCCAGTGCTTCACCACCGTTTTCAAATGGCTCACTTGGTAGTTGATCTACTCCAGTTGATTTGTTTTTCTTCAGCCGACCGATCTCCTCCTCAATTTCTTGAAGATCAGGGGCCGTTAGCCTGTCGTCTTCTGCGCGTGCTCCAAGGTATGTTGCCGTGCCACCTTCGTTTTCTGCTGCTTCACCGTTGAGGTGCTCGTCATAGTACTGCTTCCACCTCTCAATCACCTCACACTCGTTCGTGAGAAGGTTACCGTCCAAGTCCTTGCACATCGCTAGCAAACCTCGCGTTTTAATTTACTCCCGTTATTATGTTACCAATGTTGACAATCGTAGCATATCACTTTTGGACGGGGAGGGATACGTCGGCCGTGTAAACAAGCTTCCCTAGCAAAGACATCATAATCAAAGATCATGATTTTCGAGCAATGATTTCCAATTTCTTTTCAAAAATGACCAATGCAGTATGGCACAACTTGTTGAACAAAGGTGTGTAGAGGAGGCGAATATCGTCAGTCGTTGCGAATTCCGCTTCATCGGCCAGGGAACCGTGATCTTAGTGTTGTGAACTTGAATGGGTGGCAATTCAATAAGCTATTTATTGCGTTTCAAGCATTGTTTTAGATCACTTAATTTAAGGTTATCTAAAGATTGGCAAATTTGAAGCTTTCTAAAAATTCGACCAACTGCCAAATGTTGAAAGAAATCAATGGTTATTGATCTTCTCTTAAACCTGGTCAGTATATAATGGAATTTTTAACTGCTCTGCTAAAATCAAGTCCATAAAATGCTACACAATCAATCCAATGTAATTATGGCCCCTATTTTCTTTCGTAATTAGTCCATAAAGAAAATAACCACAATCCCATTATCCCAAACAACGATTCTATGTCCAATTGCAGCGCGCCGTCGTCGTCGTCGGCGTCGTAAATGTCGGGGTGGAAATCGAGTAAATAATTGGATCAATATAATTACGCCACTGGTACCCGTAACTTCACATCAGAAAAAAAAAATTATACTGGCATCGAACCAGTTCACCAGAAGTTGGGAATAATCGCTTGAACGCCAACGAAAAATAAAACAATTTTCAATTAACTCGAATCATTAACAACAACAACAACATACAGTACTGGCTACTGCATACAGTAGATGGTCTGTGGTAGAAGCATAGCATCAGTCACTATGTGTAGATGAGGAAGTACAAACATAAACGCATAACCAAATCCCCGACCAGTGAAACCGAAAGCCATACGCGACTAATCTCGATTCTCTTTTCTACTTTCGTCTCTGCTTTTTTTCAGTTCTAAATATACGGAGCCGGAGTAGCATAGCGCAGCGTCACGTAGCCGTCGGTCGTCGTGATCGCCGTCAGCCCAGCAGTATTAATTAGACGTAACCCGTGACGTCCTCCTCCGGCGGAGAAGATGGGTACGCATTATTTCCTAAGATCCATCGCCAAATGTGCGCCCTAGGTTTCATAGTGTTGGTGGTGATCGTAATACTCAAGACCCTAGTTATTATTAACAGCATCAGCGGTTGACTTGACGATAAATCTCGGCGGATCCGCGCGCGTCGCGAAGCGTCGAAACTCGCCATAGCAGGCCTTACTCTCTTTATCTCTCTCTCTCTCTCTCTTTCGCACACAGACACGATCGCGAACGAGGGGGACGAGGAGCGAGAGTGAGTGGGAGCGAACACGAGCGCGGTGAACTTGCAGACTACTAGATCACTCGCGGAGTTTCAGTCGCGAGAGTGTGATCCCACCCGTAGGACGTGTGTGTTCGTTCGGCTAGAGAGCTGTGCGCGAGAATCGAGATTGTGCGCCGCGTAGCGGTCGTTTTGAGAAACAGTGATTTTTTTTTTCATATCAAAATGAAAATATAATGAAAACCCGCGATTTTTTGTTACTGGCAAGGGGAAAATAAGTTTGCAAGTGTAAAATCCCGCACGGCGGGTTTGTGCTAATGAGGAAGAATATTTTCCGCAACGAAGAAAAACCTCGCTCGATAGGGTGCGATTTTCCACGACAGTGAAGAAAAGTGCGGTTCTAAAAATAAAAATCTCGAGAAAGTGGCGGCAGCTCGTGTGTGAACATGCTGCAGTAGCTGCAGAAAATAGGAAACGAGAAGATTTCCCTTCTCGCGAGGAAGAAGCTTCATTGAAAAGTGAAAAATAATCGTGCACTCTCTGCGAAAAGAAGGGAAACACAACAAGCAATCGAGAAGAAAATCTCGTGTTTTTCATTCTAGTTCAACGGAAAATCAAAAGCCGAACGCTACCTAAATGAATGAAGCTTTCAATTTCTATTATCAGAATTTGTTCTCGATAAGTGAGTGCGAATCACCCCTCGTCGTTTCCAAACACTCTACACTGATGTGATGTGCTACCCCGTTTTTCACCAACAACTGTAGAAAATTTTGCAATTTGTGCCACAAAGGAAGACCCCCCGACCGGATAACCTAGCAAAAGTGACCCCAACAAATGGATAAACAATTAGAAAAATAACACCCCAATCAATGTTGTAAACCAATAGAAAACCAAAATATAATCAATCACCCCCCCGAGAACAATCGGTAATGAAACAGTCCCAGCTTGACGAAAAATCTAAACACCATTTTTTCGAGTGTAAATAACCCACCAATCAAATCTGATTCATTTCGGGAAAACCCCCGTGCGTGCGTTTGTGCTGTGTGGCCTAACCCCCCGCTCCTTTCGCTCTCACTCACTCGACTGCTAACCGCGCTCCCATAAAAAAAAACACACCCGTTACATTTGCGGACCCCTCGTCTCGAACCCGCGACGAGAGCCCGACGAGGGGTCAAGGATGATCGCCTGCTTTGTTTTTGTCCGTGCTGCCACATGTTGCTGCCATCGCTAAACAAAACAGCCTACTGATTGATGCCTTGTGTTTGTGTATGTCCGTGTGCTTCCTCTCCTTTTCTCTCTCTCTCTCTGTGTGCGTGTTTGTAGCTGCTAATGGAAATTTAAAACCCAAAAAAAAAAAATAGTTCGATGAAAATTTCATGGAAAAGTAGAAAATTATTCGCAACCAAGGCTGATGCTAGAATGAGTTGATCAAAACAAAACAAAATCAAATAAGAATAATCGAAAGCGAAAAATTAACGGTGCAAAACGAAAGCAAGAGAAAAGAAAAAGAGAGTACACCTTACTGCTCGACAAGTACTAAATGTGTGTGTGCGTGTGCTCGCTGCGATACAACACCCCAACAACACATTGCGCCTGGATTTCGACAAACCGAGAACAACAAATCACACATACGCGGTACACACACGCGATACCGGAAGCCAACAAGCGTGCGCCGAGTGCGCGTGAGTGTGTGTGAGTGTCAGTGTGCTACCATATTGTGTTTTCTCTCAGCCAACCAGGGCGACCTCTGCGCTGCCCTCGCAATCCCCGTGGATGTGGATAATGATGTGTAAGAATGAAAAATATTATCACCATCTGTAATTGTTTGTAAGATAGTCTTTGGCGAAAATACGGTCCAGAGGAGAAGCCGAAGAAGTTGAATGTATTTTCTGTCTACTCGTTCACCGTTCATTGTTTGATGTGATTAATGTGAACAGAGCAAACGCGAAACATCAACCAGTTCATACGCCCCATTTGCCAAGTAGTCGAGAGCAAACAAAAAAGAAAGTTCTAATAATTTTTTCCCTTTCGTTTATTTTCAAAATCAAAAAAAAAAATGTGCACTGTGAAATGAAACCAAACGAAAATCAATGAAATCAAAATAAAAAATAAAAAAATTAATTGTGTGAAAAATTCTTTACGAAATCGTGTGCGCGTGTGTCTGTTGCGTGAAACCATGGCAACTACAGCGAAGCAGTCCTCCGCTTCGTCGCCTTCGTCGAACGTGCATAGCTTCGCCGAAGGCCAGTCGAACCATCAGCAGGAGGACCTCGACGCGATCGCGAAGCAGATTTCCGATCACGCCGAAGCAATCTACCAGACATGGAAAGCCCGTGGCCTAGCGCCAACTGAAATCCTCAACTGCCAACTGCCGGCGGCGGACGGTGAAAATGCTTTTAGCAAAACCCTGAGCCCTACGACTACTACCTCTTCCGCGTCACCTTTGTCGACCTCGCCGTCGTCGTCTAGCGTAAACCAGAATTCCGCTTCCGGTGTTGCCGAACTGCTAGCGCAAGCACCCGAACTTTCCAACAACAGTCTCGAACAGCTGGTCAGTTCGTTCGTGAACGAAGACAAGGCTCGGATCGCCGCACAGAAACGAGGTGCCGGACGACCGACTTCCGCTGGGTCGGCCATCAAGAGTGTGCTTCAAAAGTTCGAACAAAACGGTGCTCAAAACCTGAACACTTCCCCCATCAATAAACCCAACTACATCCGGCCAGGCAGTAGTGCACCGAACAAAGTGAACAATAACAACAATAACCTTAGTACCCTGAACCAAAACAACGTACCGGACGTCCTGAAGGATACGATCGTTGAAAAGCCCCGTGAAAAGCCGCAGACTCCGGTCAAGCCGGAACACTTGCTGAACCATGTTCCTAGCTGGCCGCTGAAGAATCGTGTAGTGAAATCCACTGGCCAACAGCAACAAAACAGTTCCGACCAAGTCAATCACCACCACATGCCCAGCCCGTCAAGTTCCGGCAGCAGCAGTAGTAGTAACAGTGGCCTTAGTAGCATCGCTGGCGGAACCGGTTTCATCTCGAAGAATACTGCGGAGCTTATGGATGAGGTCTCTCGGGAAGAAGAACGTCTAATCAACGCACTGAAAACGGGAACTGTCCTCAACAGCAACGACCTACTGCCGGAGGTCATAACGTCCACCCTGAGCGAACGGGACGTACCGGACTACGGTTATAGCAGTAACAGTCGGCCCTCCGATATGGTGACCTCATCGACCGTAGTGGCCAACGGTGGCAGCACCAATGGCACCAACGGTACTAGCGCTGGCGCTGGCGCCGACAACAACTCCGGTGCACCAAATGCCGTCGGTGTCAAACACTGGAACGGTGTCCCGATGAAACCGAACCACATACCGATCCTCAGCCTTCACCAAATCCACGAACAGCAGAAGCTGTCGACGAACTTTACCCGCAATGTCGCAACCACAAGACTGCCGAAAGATTTTGGCCGACCGGCGTCGTCGGACGAGAAGAAGGAGTTCCAGGCGAAGACCATTCCTAGCCCGATCCGGCCGTTCCTGTCCCGGGGCTCCGTGGCCGAGCGGGTGCTGATCTTCGAGAAGTGTCCCGAGAAGGCACCGCCTCGGGAGCGACCGAAGGAATCCGTCAAGGTGCAGGTGAGTGCAGTTTACTCTTCTTTTTGTTTTTGCTTTGAAATGTTTCCGGGGGTCGTGGTTAACCTCGAGGTTTGCGCCGGGAGGTGAATGGGTCGTTAACGGAGGTATCTGATTCGGTTTACAACAGGTTAGGTTAGATTACTTTATTAAAGAGACATTCAGCCGTTCGCTGGTTCGACTCTGACCGTACAAACTGAACAGTGTGATCATTTTGAACCTCGACTAGTCACTCTTGGTGAAGGTCGTTTTCGCCACTCCCTCCCTACGTCCCTGATTAGCACTCTATTTGTGTGAAATGCTTACCAACATCCAATTCGCTATTCAAACTTAACAAATTGATCTATGGAATTCAGGATATCCAAATGACCATTCTCAGCTATCAAACCACGTGAAAGCTGCGCATTCCATCGCCCAGCACCGGTCGTCGCTTGTTGACGGCCACCCGCAGGCTGTCGGTCGATCGGTCGTCGGTCGATGATGGGATTTTAAAATCCAAGAAAAATGCATGTGTTTCTGCATTCGTTTGCATTATCTTTTTCTCGACCAACTTTGCTGCCGCACAAGTATGTAAAGGCCTGCCAGCAAGCTCATGTGCACCGGAGATACGAACAAGACACGAAACAGAATTCTATAAGTGTCTAGTTTATGCACAAATTGTGAGAATATTTTATATAGGTGACTTCACATGGCATGACAGCTCGCTAGGCATGCCAACTATTACAAACAATAATAACAGCAGAGGCTCCATTTTACATGACTGAATGCCTCTGGGGGTGCGGGATAAGTACTATTATGGGCTCTCCACGAGTTGCCACCTTCATTCACCGACGACCGACACGGTTTTGGTTCTGGTTGGCCTAGTGCGCGGTTTACTCACAAAACACAGATAGATATGTGGCCGCCCGCCCGCCTTTACCGATTGCTCACCTTCGCGATGCCATGGGATTGTGGTACACACAAAGACACACAGGTGGTGCCACACTGTACTAGGCACATCGAAAGGGATAAGTGTAGCGTACGAACAGATAATACAATTCGTTATTTTTTTACTCTTCGATGTCAGGATGAAATGTAAGATGTACATAAAGTAGTAAGAATAGACTTCTCTGACGTTTGTGAAATGCACAAGTATTAGTGCAGTACTTTGGGTAAATCATAAGTACACTGTGCAAGAAAGCCTTTGAATTTACCCAAAGTTCTGCACTAATACTTGTGCAATTCACAAACGTCAGAGAAGTCTATAAACGAATGATTTACTTCAATTCTTCTGCTATCCAGTATTTTACGATCGCTTATGGCCGCCACAATCTGACTGATTTTCTGGCAGGGAACATAAGATTTGAAGTTTGGGTTGTGTCGTTTGACGTGTAAACGATCAAATTTGAACGTTTACACGACAAACGACACAACCCAAACGTCAAATCATATGTTCCCTACCAAACACTGCAAAAATGCTGGATGGCTTTTTACGTCCCTACTGGAACTATACACCTGCTATCAATTAGCTTGCTATGCCTGTACCATTTTCACATTTGTACTATAGAGCAGTTCCTGGCGATTTTTTTTGAATCGACCTTCTTCTATTAGTTTGAAATTTTGCGTAATTGTTTGTTATGGGCAATAATTCATATTTTTGCTCAAATTTGGCCATTTTAGATCTTGTAAATTAAAAAAAATAAAGTCCTTGGAATTCTGATAGAAATGACGTCTGAGACAAAGTTGTAAACAGCAAAACAATTATTTTGATATCACATCAAAGTGGATGCACTTCAATCGTGTCAAAAATATGGTGTAATACTATTTGCCAAAAAGGACAAAATTTCCATTAATACAGTGTATGAACTGAAATTACTTACTTATGGTCCGACATCCCTCAGGACTGCACCTGCATCACAATGTTACGCCAATTCACTCGGTCCGTGGCTGCTTGTCTCCAATTTCTTGACCGTCCCACACTTCAAAGATCCAGCTCCACTTGGTCTAACCACCTTGCTCGCTGTGCTCCTCTTCGTCTTGTACCGGCCGGATTCGAGGCAAACACCATTTTTGCGGGATTGTTGTCCGGCATTCTTAAAACGTGTCCCACCCACCGGGTTCGCCATAGAGTTGCGCCAGCTCGTGGTTCACCGTGGTTCACATACCCCGCCAAAGATGGTCCTAAGTACTCGTCGTTCGAAAACACCCAGTGCTTGCAGGTCCTCCTCGAGCATCGTCCACGTCTCGTGCCCGTAGAGAACTACCGGTCTTATCAGCGTCTTGTACATGGTACATTTAGTACGGAGGTGAAGTTTACCCGACCTCAGGGTCTTGTGGAGTTCGTAGTAAACACGACTTCCGGCAATAATACGCCGACGAATTTCTCTGCTGCAGTAGTTATCCGACGTCACCAATGATCCGAGGTACACAAATTCATCCACCATCTCGAACTCATCCCCGTCGATTGTCACGCTTCTGCCTATGCGAGCCCTATCCCGCTCGGTTCCACCAGCTAACAGATACTTTGTCTTCGACGTATTCACCTCTAATCCAACCTTCTCTGCCTCACTTTTTAGCCTGGTGTACTGCTCCGCCACGGCCCGAAACGTTCTTCCGACAATGTCCACGTCGTCAGCGAAGCAGCTGAACTGGTTGGACTTATTGAAGATCGTGCTCCGCATGTTAAAGCCCACACGTTTCACAACACCTTCTAGCGCAATGTTGAACAAGAGGCAGGAAATACCATCGCCTTGTCGAAGTCCTTTGCGAGTTTCAAACGAGTCCGATAACGCACCCGATATCTTCACGCAGCACTGTACACCATCCATCGTAGCCCTGATCAGTCTGGTCAGCTTCCCGGGAAAACCGTACTCGTCCATAATCTTCCATAGCTCTTCACGGTCAATAGTATCATAGGCGGCCTTGAAATCGATGAATAGGTGGTGCGTAGGGACTTGATATTCACGACACTTTTGGAGGATCTGCCGCAACGTAAAGATTTGGTCCGTTGTCGATCGCCCGTCCACAAAACCGGCTTGTTAACTTCCCACAAATCTGCTTGCTAGCGGCCATAAACGGCGAAAGACGATCTGGGAAAGCACTTTGTAGGCCGCGTTAAGAGTAGTGATCGCCCGATAGTTCTCACATTCTAGTTTGTCGCCTTTTTTATATACTGGGCATATTACTCCCTCTTTCCACTCCTCCGGTAGCTGTTCTGTATCCCAGATCCTGACAATCAGTCGGGCAGACAAGTGGCCAACTTATCCGGGCCCATTTTGATAAGTTCCGCTCCGATACCATCTTTCCCAGCTGCTTTGTTGTTCTTAAGCTGTCGCCTCTGCGCCGTTCAGATGTTCATCGTAGTGCTGCTTCCACCTTTCAATCACCTCACGTTCGTCCGTTAAGATACCCCCTTCCTTATCCCGACACATTTCGGCTCGCGGCACAAAGCATTGGCAGGATGCGTTGAGTTTCTTGTAGAACTTGCGTGTTTCTTGAGATCGATACAGCTGCTCCATTTCTTCACACGCCAGCTCTTCCAGGCGGCGCTTCTTATCCCAGAAAAGATGGGCTTGCTGTCTTCACTATTGTTTATATCGCTCCACATTATGACGGGTTCCTTGCTGCAGCATCACCGCCCGCGTTGCGTTCTTCTCGTCCAAAACCGTCTGACACTCTTCGTCGAACCAATCGTTCCGTCGATTCCGCTCCACGAACCCAACGGTGCCTTCACGTTGCTCCAGCAGTCCTCACGAGGGGCTTCGGTAAGCTCTCCCTCATCCGGCAATGCTGCGTCGAGGCATTGCACGTACTCAGTTGCGACTTCGGGCAGCTCCAGATTGTACCGTGGCACTGTTGTTGGCAACGGAAAGTTTTTGGCGCACCTTGACCATCAGAAGGTAGTGGTCCAAATCGATATTTGCGCCGCGATAGGTCCTGACGTCGATAATGTCCGAGAAGTGCCTTCCGTCGATCAAAACGTGGTCGATTTGTGATTCTGTCTGCTGTGATGATCTCCAGGTGTACCGATATGGGAGGCTATGCTGGAAGTAGGTACTACGTATGGCCATGTTCTTAGAGGCGGCATTCGTTAGCTGGTGAGCGCTGAACTTTCCTATAACCGGTCTGAATTCCTCCTCCTGGCCGACCTGAGCATTAAGATCACCGATGACGATTTTGACGTCATGGCTTGGGCAGCTGTCGTATTCCCGTTCCGGCTGCACGTAAAAAGCGTGTTTATCGTCATCGTCACTTGCTAAGTGAGGGCTGTGCACGTTGATTATGCTGACATTGAAGAAACGACCTTTGATCCTCAACTTGCACATTCTGCTATCGATTGGCCACCACCTAATCACGCGCTTCTGCATTTCGCCCATCACGATGAAAGCTGTACCCAGCTCATGTGTATTACCGCAGCTCTGGTAGATGGTATACAACGATCCCTTCCAGCAAACCTCCTGCAGCGCTACGATGTCGAACTTGCGGACCCTCAATAAATCGGAAAGAATGCGGGTACTTCCCACACTACTTGCTTGCTTCCTGTACTTTTGTTTCTGTACAATTTGATCCGCTCAGTTTCCAATGATAGCTCTTCCTTAGCTTCACGGATCATTTTTTCGCGCTTAGTTCGGGAAATCTCATTTCCTTGATAATCTCGACGTCAGACATTACTCCATAAGACAACTTTAAGCCTTTTTGTGAACGAGTGTTTTCGCTCACAACCTTTGGCAAGCTCAAAATATCCGAAGATGTTCGGGGCAAGGGTGGAGAAGCTTCGATCACAACTGGATCAATGATATTTAAAGGGTGATACGGTCAAAATTTGGTCAAGGGAAAACGCGTGTAAATCGGTGAAATCGTTTATTTAAAAAATCAAATTAAATTTCTTTTTCAAGTTCAATTAGTATAAAATTCAGGAAAAATATTCAGTTAGCCTTCCGCTTTTCCAAATCCGAAAAGCCGGGCCTTACGCTTGACCCCTGCCATCAGATTTTGTACAGCCACCTTGTCCACCTTCTTCGCCG